GATAGATAGATAGATAGATAGATAGATATGAACAGACTGAAAGTCAGATATATATATATATATATATATCAGCTTGAGATAGATAGATAGATAGATAGATAGATAATGATCAGATTGAGATAGATAGATAGATAGATAGATAGATAGATAGATAGATAGATAATGATCAGATTGAGATAGATAGATAGATAGATAGATAGATAGATATTTTTCCATCGAAGGGAAGGAAGGTAGTTCACTACAAAGTGCGTCGCATAGTGGGTTTAAACCCTGAAGGAAAGAACTAGTGAAACTAAGAAATGTAGTTCGTCTGAACACTTTCCATGGAAATAGCAATAGAGCAGAGAATTGGGACGTTACGACTGTGAGAAAAGTGGTTGTAGGGTGGAAAATAATTTGTTACCCACAAGGACACGGAGATACCTTTCAACTCTGTCGAGACTGGAAAGATAAGACTGGGCAGCGCCTGCCCATATATGGCTGCAGCGCTCCATTATAGAACTGATCTGGCTCTGGCAAAGATAGAGGATAGCGGTGGCGGTGGTGAGGGGGGGAGACCGGTACTTACTGAAACAGTACAGGGAGCTGACCATTTTTCCAGCGTCTTTAGCGATGGTCAGTATGTACGTGTTCCACTTGAGGTCTGGGTTGAGTTTAAGGCGCATGACACGTGCCCCCCCCCCCCCGAGGAAAAAATCAGTTCATCGCGATTGGTAATAGTTCTGGGTCCGAGCTGGCGAGGACTGGGCAGATCCAGCCCAAATATGACAGCCTGACCTGGCTCCCGTTAAGGGTAGCACGCTGAGTGAGGTACTTACTGGAGCGTTACAGGGAGCCGACAATTTTTCCTACGTCTTTAGCGATGGATCGAATGTACGTGTTCCACTTCAGGTCTGGGTTGAGTTTAAGGCCCAATAGTCACTCAAGGCACGACGCCTCTCCCCTGAGGGAACATCCATTCCTCGTCAAGTTTGAAAAACGTAAAAGTCGTAGATACAAAAAGAATAAGTTTATAATTTTTGGTGTTAAGTCTTCAATAGAAAGTACCTATTCGGTTCACGTAAGGAGAAGTCACTAAGCATAGCTGAGATGTGGCACATGGCCGAAAGTATGGGACACCTAGTGAGAATCGGATTCACTATTCAGTCGTAATTGGCCTTGATCTGGCATCTCGTCTACAGTCGCTCTCTAACAGACGTGTCGTCGCCTCGTGCTGTCTTTTCTACAAATAACTTTCACGGTAACTGCTCCGACGAACTCCCATCATGCATAAATTTAATCGTGCAACTAGGCTGGAACCTCTGTGACACCCTTTCATTGTCTTAACGGTTAAATGTAGCCGTCTCTTCTACTCCATTAGCTTCATGTCTCACACTTCCAGTCTATGAAACTCCCTTCCTATTACTTGTTTCCCTGATAGCTATAATCTCCAACTATTCAAATGAAATGCCAATCGACATTTCTAGCTGCCTTGATCTATTCCCTATACTTTTTTCCTCCTTTCCTCTATTACGCCTCTTTACTCTCGCTTCCACTCTCTGCAACCCCTTGCGTGTTAGTGGCATCCCGCCTTGCTTGGGGGTGAAATGCTTAAAAAATAATCTAGTAAGACAAGCTTGTTAACCATTAGATCCGATTGCCGACATGAAGATGAATCCGTTTATTCCATTGGTATCATAAGAAGGGGGAAGTAATTTATGAGTAGAATAAAAAAGAAGCCGGAAGAGTTACAAAAGGGAGAACTGTGAGAGAGAAAAAACTGTTAGCATAGAACTTCCGGTTACATCTAGCTATTTCAACTGTACAATGTCATATATATATATATATATATATATATATATATATATATATATATATATATAGTTTAGAAAATTAGTAAATCAACCGATTCCGCTATCTTGGTTTCAACTTTTTCGCTATCTTCAGGCGATTTAAGTCAATTGATTTCTTAACGATTTATTTTAAAGTTTTGCTGCTTCCGTTTTGCAAACTATGTCTTATGCAGATCTGCTTTTATTTCTACAATTTATGTAACTTGGATATATATATATATATATATATATATATATATATATATATATATATATATATATATATGTATGTATGTATGTATATATATATATATTCTTTCTAGCCGCCTATAGATCGAGAGAGCGTAAAACTTGAGATATCCTTCGTTTAGTATTGACATTTTGAATTGTTTTCTGCACTGACTAGATAGTTTAGGCGTTGAGTACTTTAATTTACTGGGTAAGTAAGTGTTTGCCGCTTGGTCTTTTTTTCTCTCTTGTTTTGTTCGGGATTTTTTATTGTCTAAGGGATTATGTCTTCTGTTAGTCACACCAACATTGCTGTTTTTTCTAATATATGCTTACATACACACACACACACACACACACACACACACACACACATATATATATATATATATATATATATATACATACACACACGCACATATATGTATATATATGTGTGTGTGTGTGTGTGTGCGTGCGTGCCTGTGTATATATTGAGATTTCCATAATATAAGTTTAACTCAGCTACTATATTTACATAATATTCACTCTCTTCTAACTAAACTAACTTCTAAATTTTGAATGTATAACTAATTCTAATTTCTATATTCCCCCCCTATAAACTTCCTCTACTCTAAGATCTCCCCAACTCTGTTTCCATTAATTCCTTACATCTTTTTATCTATATATTTTAAAGTTATTTTGAAACCTCTTTTTATTCCTCTTTTAATTTTAAATTATTTCACCCCAAATTAATATCATAAGGTAATATCATAAAGTTAACACTCGGATTTCATTTTATAAAACTTCTTTTCTTTAAGACAAATATGTTTATCCCATCCCTGATGCTTGTCTCATGCCTTTTGTCTGACTGAAACATTGAAATAGATAAATCCTAAATTACCTTTTTGACTGTTTTTTTTTTTTGGTAGTTTTCACAGTTAAATTTCTATTTCTGACACGAACACAGCCCCCAACGGGGTTGATAAGATAGGCGACCGATATTATCGTCAGGCTATTCCCCATATGATATGATTTTGGACATTATTGTTTTTTAATTATTTGCTCAGTAATAATAAATACATTGAGCTTTTTTGTGGATCAGTTTTTATATTTTATATTACTAAGATGCACTTGGATTATATACAAACGGATTTGTTACATTTACACACACACACAGATATATATATATAATTTTTCAGTGTGTTACAAGAATGCTTGAAGACTAGCAAAAGGTTTCTTTTAATTATTTAGTTAAATGTCTACAAAAACACTTGTGAAACCAATGAATATATATATATATATATATATATATATATATATATATATATATATATATATATATTGCCAAATACTAAAAAGTATCTACCACTTTCCGTCATCATTCTGGCCATTATCAAGAACGAGTAGAAAATGTCGAAGCGGAATTTTAAAGTTAGCTCCAGTTCTTGATTGATTCATTCAATAATAAATGGTTTAATGATACAATCCTTACTAAATAACCCATATCTGGAGGGAGAAAGGATGGATTCATGCCTTTCCTAAGGGTAAATGAAAATAACGAACCCAACAGGAATTTGAACTCGGCTACATTACCGAGCTGTTATCCATTACACCACCCGCACTCTCAAGTTTAGAGCATTTGTTATACCCAAGCAGTCACCTATTTAAGTACTGACCAGACTCGACGTTGCTTAGTTTCGGTGATCGTACTGGAATCTGTGTTTCAATCTGATGTGACCGTAAATAAATGCTAGTTAAACAACGTAAAATACGTTATTCACTGTATACTCTAAAATAATATCTGGAACGTCTCTGTCGAGGTTAAATTCGATTTTTTACGTTTTGGAAGGAAGAATCGTTCATTCCGATCTGTGAAGTTCTACAAAGTCTGTCTGGAACGTACCAAGGAATTTTGAGTATCTCTAGAAACTGTTACGTCCCATTGATGTCAATTCGCGATCCATCTGAAGGCGCCTTACTTCGTATCTATGAACAGAAATTCTCCTGTGAGGCTTCATCTGTCGGTAGGAAGACACTGTTGAGCGCAATTCTGTATTGTATTACTGTCGTCTAATCTTCATGCATCGCGAAGGAATTGTTTTGAAAATAAATCATCGCATCAACCAGATCTGAAAATCCCAAGTCCATATAGGTTGTGTTTGTCACCTTGTCCTTTCTCTTTGTGTTGTAATGTAATGTCCCACATTTCCTATCGCCTATGTGGACTGACTATATCAGTACCTATATAAAGTGAAAACACAATATACCTTGGGGTTGCTTCAGGAATAAGTTGGAGATTCCACTCCAGCTTTGTTGGTTGAACTCACTGCCTTCGGGCAAAGAACCCAGACAAGGTTATGGCGAAAGACAGAGTCTCGTCTGAGGTGGCAGACAGCTACCCGACACCGTTTTTTACGGGGTCTACAGGGAAATTTTGCCCGAGCTTACGGGCTCGGATACCCCACATTAAATTCGGCCTTGTGCCACATCTGACCGCGTGGGGCGGTTGGCAAATATCCTTGCTTCAGGAATAAGTTGGAGTTTCGTCTCCAGCTTGGATGGTCGAGCTTTCTGCCTTCGGGCAGAGAGGAACCCATACCAGGCTATGCCGAAAGGCAGAGTCTCGTCTGGGTGGTAGACAGCTATCCCACCCCGTTTTTTTACGGGATCTACGGGGAATTTTTGCCCCAGCTTATGAGCCCGGTTTTGCCCCGCATTAAAAATCGGCCTTGTGCTACATCTTGCCTCGCAGAGAGGTAAGGTAAATAATCTTGCTTCAGGAATTACTAGCCTGCCACCCGATTTCCTGTCTTTCAGTAGTGTATTCTGTTTTTTTTTTTTTTATATAATAAAACTCTTTTATTTCATCTACGTGTGTGTTGCTTTTCCTTCACTCGAGTACTACCTTTGTTTGTTTGTAATCCCTTTAAGGATACAACACTTTTTTTTCTCCAAAGCAATTATTGCCATAGCAACGGCATGGGCAAGATTAAAGAGAACGATTGGAAGCAGCTGAATTGTCATCACTCTTTGGTAGGTTTATTTAAGCTCTCCTGCTATTTTCTTTCATTCCCCCACTTAGACCACTTCCTAAAGAATTCTTCAGACAACGTAAATTCTTCTGCATGCTCCCGATATGTCTGCCGGTGTCTGATTCCAAAGTTTCTAACCTAAAGAGTGAAATCAGAAGTTATAGATTTTTTAACAGTACATTCGACTATTCTTTTGGTAAAACTCTTTGTGGGAGTTTTTAATTAAATACTCATTTATTTCTTAAATAGTTGCTTTAGCATCGTACTGATATCCACGATTGGCTTACTGATTAGTTGATTTAAGTCGAGAATGTGCCCCGTTTCTTTCAAACTTCACATTTTCCAGTATTAATTCTATGTCTGTTACTTATAAAAAAAAATTGTTCGTCATGCAATTATCAAATGGTTGATCAGTTGCTTTATTCAACTAACACTAGTTAAATAGTATAGATTTCAATAAATGAATATGAAACAGATTTAACCTTTGCTAAGACAAACGTTCTTTTATAAGAGGTCATTCTACGATTTCTACTGATACCGTGCACGATCCACCGCATGGTCGGGTCATATATGTCTAAACCGGTGTACCCGTGAACCTTTTTTGATGAGGAGGGCTAGCTAGAGACCTGGCAGGATTAAACACCTTGTTAAAGAGTGAATGAAACTTTTTGCGGCGGATGGGTTAACGGGTATCCAGCACAAAGGCGGTAAACAGGGCTCTCAAGTCTGGTGCTGATATAGGTGGAGGCATTCTATACTGAAATCAATGCACAGAGGAGGGGGTTACCCCGTGGAAATCAAAGGTCACGCGTCCGTCAGGCAGTTGGAGAATATGGTCTGTGGGTTTAACTCGAGAAGGGAAGAATTCCGCCAGGTTCACTCGCCCAAGACACGCTACGCATTAATGAATGTCTTTCCGGCTTTAAACACTGATGCATGTAGGGAGTTGGTCAGTGACCCTACGACCGCACCCAATCCCGCTGATGATGGTAATGATGATAATTAATCCAGTCTTCTGTGGTAATGAAATTCCCATAGCGAGGCATTCTTGTAATATTCGGTCATTAGTTTGCAAATCTGCCTTTAGCATACCAGTGGAATAAACCATATGTTATGGTCCGGTTCCTTGTACCATGGTGATAGTCCAAGGTAGAACCAATAAAGAAGAACTCGAACACGGATATGTAATAACACAGATATATTACAAACAGGAATATATACAGAGAAGTAGAAAGTGTTAGTACGAACAATCAGGTTTAGTAGGGAGAACGATATAGTCTCGACCAGTATCACTATTCCAATGTCTTGTAGTAATTGTCTGAACGCGACACTGTTTCAGACTCGCTTGCTCTGACTGACTGACAGACTCCTGACGGACTTCACTCCAGACTTCAGACTGAACTCTCTCTGCTTCCTCTTGAAGCGCAGTATTTATTACGTATGGAATAGTCCATTATGTTATTATGGGTAAGGTCCCATAACACCATATTTAACTATTCTTAAGAAAACCAATTAAAAGTAACAAGCAAAAATAACATTCAATCAAGATAACAATGGTCATTTAGTTCAATAGATAGTGGCTCGGAAAGAGAAATTGAAGAGCCGAGTTCAATATATTCACGTTCTCGAAAGGTCTGAATCTCTTTCCTTCCCCGGCGACTATAGGTTAAATAGCAACGTAAACTTGCCTCTCTAAATTTGATTGGTCATTAATCTAGAAAGACAACTCTGAATTCAACAACAGGCACATGGACAAGATTATGGAGTTCACAATGACTCTGTACCCTCGACTGCGATCGACCTATGAATATCTTGATGTATCAGAATATTATAATTGCCATAACCTCAAAAAATGACAGAACTAATTAAGTAATTTTTGCTTTGGTTATGTTTTCTGTATTCGATTTTAATATTCTACGAGTTTTACTGTGTCGTGTCAGACAATTTTACTGTCCAGAATCCATCTTCCGCATTTTTAATTCTACCATTCTTCCATGCATTGGATATTGCTGCCATATCTGGTCTGGTGTTCCTACTATATATCTTGAGATTCCCGAGAAAATCCAGAGGAGGGTCTGTAAGGTTATTGGTCCTAACCTGGCATCTCGACTCCAGTCACATTCCATCTGCCTTGAAGTCGCTTCTCTTTGTCTTTTCTATAAATATTTTCATAGCAATTGCTCTGATGAACTTTCCTCCTTGGAGAATCGGCTGCGTAGTGCAAGACTAGTAACTAGTTTTCATCGTTTTACTCTTGAAGTAGCTTAGGTGTAACTGTAAATTCTGTTCTAATAATGTCTTTTCTCGCCTGTAGAACTGTCGTAACCTAAAAACGGTTACTGAATAAGGAATAACCGAAACGGAGATTGGAAATGAAATGGTAATCTTTATAACATCAACAAAATACAATACTCGCCAGCGGCGTGAAGTAGGTAAACCACTGCTAGTAATGGACTACTTAGTATATTACCCACCCACTTACAATAGTGTCCAACGTATTTATGAGGATTGGGGCATACCCATTAGTGTTCATAGATACGCTAGAAGTAAAAGTAAACACTATTTATATATCTATCTCAACGTGTTCCCTATCTATCTATCTATCTATCTATCTATCTATCTATCTATCTATCTATCTATCTATTGTAACCTAGGAAGGGTTACTGAATGAGGAATAACCAAAACGGAGGTTGGAAATGAAATGGTCATTAACAAAATAAAATACTCGCCAGCGCCGTGAAGTAGGTGGACTACTTAGTATATTACCCTCAGTTACAATAGTGCCCAACGTATTTATGAGGATTGGGGTACACCCATTAGTGTCCATTGGGAGGGTAGAAAACAAGAACTCTCTTCTGGTTCTTGATTACCTGCCACCTACGCACTTCAAAAATTAAAATGTAACGCCAATCGTAATCATCTGTCTTCCTGGTACCTGTGCTTTTATTGTCTTTTCTCTTCACTAAAATTTTATTCTCTTTCCTTCCCAGTCAATTCTTGCAGCTTAGCGGCATTATCACCTTGCTTGGGGTGAAATGATTAAAGAAAACTATTATGATGTGTAAAAATGGTTCTTATAGGCCAGAATATGCAATGAAATCTTAATGAAAAATAAAATAAATAAAAAAGAATGTATTATCAGCCTGATTCCCACTACTTGCTAAAAAGATGTTGTATCGTAGATTGGTTTCTAGTAGTATTTACCCCGCCTCCTCATTGTGACTCAGGGTCGGGTTTAATATGATGAAACTGAATGCGTACACTCGAGCCACAGCCACAAATTGCCGGGCCTCCGAAACCGTCGGTTGCTCTGGCATCAGTATGACTCCCGATCCTCACTATCTAGTCACTATCTAGTAACCACAGTTGTGCCCACCTCATTGCACTAGATACTAGTGCAATGAGGTGGGTACAGCTGCGGAAAGAGACGCAACTGGGCCGCACTCTACTCGAAGTCAGAGACGCAATTCAGAGATAATGACACTACGCGGTACGTGTGATTTAAGTATTGACATCTAGTAATACATCCGATTACGATAACATCAGAATATTGCATTAAGTAAAGCTGGTTGCAAGACTAATAAATAGATTGTCATATCTTGTCTTACATTCGTATTTATATTACTTTTATATTTGATAAATTACGTTACAAACATTTTCTTTTGTTTTCCACACTATTAAAATAATCGTCAAACATGAACTGGCAAAATATATTAAGTTATATTAGAGCAAAAACTAGTTATATTGACCGTGACCTTTCATTAGTGTAAATTTCATCGCTCTCTCTCTCTCTCTCTCTCTCTCTCTCTCTCTATGCAACTAGACTTTTAGTCCAGCATATGTTTACATATTGAGTTTCTTTAGAGGTCAGTTTTTGTTTGCACGTGCTTGTAATGCCCAGGTCGCGTGTTTGACGGCTTAAACAAGTAAATCACTATTAATCATAATGCTAGTCTTTCGTAGAAAAATTAAAATGACCATCAGTTGGCTTTAACAACTAAAACTACCATAGGATAAGACTTATTTGTGAACCGAGAGAAATTAAAATTGCACAGAAGGTTTTCTTGAAAAAAAATCCAGTAGCGATTACAAAAGGTCTTATAATCACTAGGCTTAGCATTTATATGAGAAACGTTTGGAACTCAATAATTATGACGTAGCTGACATGAGTTTCGAGGATACCAATACCCACAACTCCAGTGTGCTACCAAATATGCTTTCGTCTTAAATACCATATGGTTCCGGGGAAGACGTGAGTTCAATCTCGTGCTTATTGAGTATAGAAATATACAGGGTGGTTCGAAAGTCTTCTTACCCCCAGCATAATATAATTTTCTATTTCAGATGGCTGACACGAGTTCCTACAGATTGGAAGAGTGACTGCTTGCAAGTGTATGGAGACATGATGGCGTGCATTCTGGCAAGAGCATGGAAGATATACGACATGACTTCACTGCAACATTCGGTAAACCAGCTCCTCCGAAGAGGACGATACTGCTATGGGAAAATAAACTGTTTCTCATAGGATTTAAGGACAAACCGAGAACAGGACGACTCTCAACGTGAAGGGACACATGTGCAGAGGCAGAGGCATATTTGCTACGATCACACAAAATATAGAGGGGGGCAAGACTTTCGGACAGCCTTGTAATTCAATCGCGTGCTTATTTAGTATAGAAAAAAATAAACAATGTGGTCCGAAAGTCTTGATATTCCCTACATAATATAATTCTCTATTTCAGACAGTTGACACGAGCTCCTAAAGTTTGGAAGAGAAGTTTTGTGCAAGTCTATATACTCATGATCTTGTGTATTATGGCAAGAGCATGCAGGATGTGCGACATGACTCCACTGCAAGATTCGAGGACAGAACGACCCAAAAAATCACTACGAAAACAGTCTTCCGAGCTAAGAATTTCCAAAACGACAATGTTAACAAACTTGACAAAGAATCTTGATTTTATCAATGAAAGGGAATAAACTGAATCCAGTAAATGTGTTTTGTATTACTTGCTCTTTTTGTGTTCGTATTACTTTTTGACAAGAAGTTGACAAGATGTTTGGGCCACCACATACATTGATTCACGAATAAGAAATATTGGGATTAAAAAAGAAAAATTCACTGTTTTTTATCCCTGACCCGTAGGGGCATCATGTGTACTACAGTAGAAGAGGCCTTTCTTGGGCAAGATAGCTTGACGGAGCCCTGTTTTGAATTCAGAGTTTTTTCCTTCTCCTAGAACGGTTGCCACAGAAGGTTAAATAATCCAGGTGCCCAGCTATTTACCCATAGCTGAGGAAGAAGAGGATTCACACCTGAGCACGTAAGTAAATGTAATGGATCCGAGTGGAATTCGAACTCGGTTCTCCAATTTCTCAATCCGACCCGCTTATCCATTACTCCAACGTGCCTACTAATTCACCGTTAAAAGTTCTTAACAAGAAAGAACATCAGACGTGTAAGATAAAGACATGAGAACGTGATTCAAATAAAGGCTTCGGTTTGAGAATAACCGAACATTACGAGGCGCAACTGGCACCAGCGGTAGGCCGGAAAGTAGAGGGGATTAAACGTTTCGATAAATGCAATGTAACTGATCTGAAATAACCAATGTATAACACTATCCTTTTTTTTATTAAACAACTTTTTATTCACCATGTGTTACCGTTACGAGTATCCTTATATTTCCTGCTTTTATCTTTTGTTTACTGCATTTTGTATGGCCTTTCTAAGATGGATGATGTCGTATGATATTCGTTGCAAAGGAATAAAGCTTGACTGCAAGGGTCTGTGTATTTTAAATTTCAAATTGAAGATATAATTTAAAAAAAAAACATTGGACGACAAATAAGGATTGCAGGATACAATATAGAAGGCTGAAGAATATATGAGCCGAAATGTTGTGATAAAATCAACAATGAAGATACTCGTTTGAATAATTCGTTGAATGATGAGAGTATTTAATCTGACAAGTCTTGCAAATTAAAATTGTATGTCTGATTATTACGCTTTTGCTACAAGGAATGGACTGCTTTATCTCTTTCTCGCTCCTTTGTTCTGATTTTGCGCAAGTCAAGTGTTAGTTTTGATGGCATTTTTATATCGTTCTTTGATCGGGTTTGCTGTCCCCTGCCAACAGAGTAGCTCCCAGTAGCGTCTAGAAATGCGACGTTGCTCGATGCAGATAAGGTGGCCAGTCCATCAGACTTGTGGTTTGATGAGTGGTCGTGTCCACACAATTAAAAAGTTCGGGTATTAATACAACTGAGACGACACATCATTACTTTTCCCCATTTCTTAAATATTGATAACTTAACATATCTCTTTCCACCACCCTCTCCATATGAAATACCTATTCTTAATTTTTAAACCTAGAGTGGATTTTCCCATTTCGACTTGGTTTACAGGACTGAAGATTTGAAGCCGTTTTTTTCGACTTCAATAAAATAAAATATCACCGATGTTTTTTTTATGTGTTCGTAATTATATAATAATATTTTGCTCTGTCTTTTGACATAGTGCCCTCAACAGATCTATATCCTTTTAGAAATTATATATGAATTACCAATAATTTTATTCATATATATATATATATATATATATATATATATATATCGAAAACGAGAAAATATCTACTGACGAGTGGACGTAGCAATTGCTAGACGGTCCATCTATGAAACTCTAGAGTGGAGATGCAGAATATATATATATATATATATATATATATATATATATATATATATATGAAATGAGAACAAATCGAATATAAATCTCGAGGTTCGTAACATTAAATGCAATGATGTTTCGATGTGTACTAATACAACTCATCAGGCGTTAGTAAAATTGTTTTTACTAACGCCTGATGAGATGTTTAGTACACATCGAAACATCATTGCATGTGTGTAGCGTTATTCACATATTTTTGATGTAATATCTTAAAATAATAAAAGAAAGTATATATATATATATATATATATATATATATATATATATATATATATATATATATATATATATATATTGATGTGTATTTGGCAACAACCTTTTTTTAAATGCATCTTTTAATGAAAATGACCGATAAGGAAGATTTAATTAATCCTTTATTGAGTTTTTCCAGCATTCTAATATATATATTTTTTTGTTTTTCGGTTATTACAGAATATAGGATTTGACCATAGTTATAATTGTTCCGAAGGCTTTCGGCTACTTCTCTAGCCATTATCAAGCATGTGTTTTGGTGAAATTCTGTGTGTGTCAGCCACTTAGTAATTTTACAATGTGGCGTTCGAACCTCTTTGTCTTCGCACTCAGGTCGTATGTACGCAAAGTTGACCGGGGCAAAATTTCTATTTTTAGAATACTTTTAACACGCCCTCTCCTCTTCTAAATAGTGTGAGATTGATAGTGTGAGAATAAGGTTTGCTAAACAGAGCACCCTTAATGATGTTATATTGATGGCGAAACTCAATAAAAGATTAATTAAATCTTCCTTGTCAGCCTTTTTTAATGAAAGATGCATAAAAGAAAGGTTGCTGCACAAATACACATCAATATATGAAATCATAACGGATGAAACACGCCACAAAAAATTCCCAGTTCATCATATATATATATATATATATATATATATATATATATATATAT